GTACCGGCCGCCGCCTGGCGCGGGCGACCTATGGTTTAGGGTTAAAGGTGTAGGCTTGAAAATTGCAGGCCCAGCCTAAACCTTAAACCCTAATTACATTGGTGTTTGTTTCTTATTTCCCACCCACTGTGAGGCCCCCACCCAAAGGACCTGTCAGGGTCCAGGCTGGTGCTGTTGAGAGCAGGCTTTGAGAGCAGTTGTAGACATGACACCACAGGCCAGAAAACCGCTCGAGCTAAGCTTTAAGCCCTAAAGCCTTCCTTGAGGTCTTACGACATCAGCTTGATACCTTTGGCCCTGACGTGCTGCTCCTTGCTCCTGTTCCTCGTGCTCCTTCATGGCTTGCGGCGGATGTGCTATGAGAAGCGCCAAATGATATCCGCCCTGAGGACCTTTGATCTAGCTAAAGTGGACTGCAAGGTCCCTAGAGACAAGGACTTCATCTATGAAGGCATCCGGATGTGGTACCGGAGCCCAGAAGGCTTCGAAGAGTATGTCAGAGGCCCATTAGCAGACGAGCCTTGGGTGCTGATTAGGTACCCTTCAGACGTATTCCGCATCATATAGCCTCCATTCTTCCCATTTTCAAAGTTGCGGCAGTACTAGCTCATGTCCTGGGTTTAGGGTTTAGAGGTTCCTCTTTAGCAAAGGAACTTACTGAGCCTTTCTTCTTCCTGACGCTGCCAATGGTGTACTGGGCGATGGCTATGACACCGGTGGTCTCGGCGGAAGCTCGGCGATTTTTGCAGGGTTAATGGAGGGTTTAGGGTTAGGGTTTAGTGGACTGAATAACTTTTAGTATTATTCTTAGGTTTCCTTCCGATAAACGTCGTAGGCTATACCACAAAACCATGTTCTAATTGCAAAAGCCTCTATATCAGGGGTCAAGTCATCTCCCGGCCTTTTGTCATAACTGACACCAACAAGGAAACTAAGATTTCAAGTAGCCAGGACAGATCGCAACTCCAGGCGCACAGCTCTAAATCCTCACGTACTTAATATTCCGAATCCCAGAAGTTCAATCTCTAAGCATGTTATATTGACTTTATATTGTATTGTGCTAAATATGGCATTATTATATGTAAGACAATATGCCATGACATGGTACATATTATGATATAGTATGATACAAGATAACTATTTAAAGCATAACAGAATAGAATATAGCAGAAAATAATTTAAAAAAATAAAAATAAAATACCATAGTAGACTATACTATACTAAAAAATAATATTGATAATACAGTATAACATTTTTGAATTACATCACCGTATATGTTCATGTAATACATAGTGTATAGTAGAAAAGATATAACGTACAACATGAATTCACGTAATAAAAGGCATCCATCATGCAATAGTTACTAAAAAAGATATAATGTACAGTGTGCAGCATACATGTATATATATATTATAACATATATATATGTTATAACATATAAAATATAGTATATAATCGGAGTATTGTACAATAATATAGAATACGTAATATATAATATGTATTACACATTACATCAACTAAGATAACAAAGCATGGCATAATCTAATCTAAAATACAATATAAAGGAATAAAATCAAAAGATATACTGTGATATTTTGTATTTTAATATGTTACAATATGCAGTACACTTTAACATAATCTACTATAACTTATGATACATCAGAACACATTATATTGTAATACAACATAACATAATATATTGTGTTGTAGTTTAGTATAATACAATCATACAGAACATACTAGAGTATATAATCGAGTATATAATAGATATATAGTAGAGTATAAAATGTAGTATATAATATCACATAGACTGTAATACCGTATATACGATAGCATATAAAAACCATAATGTAATGTACAGTAACAGTTTAATGCAATGCTATAATAGATAGCCTATTCAACATAGTAGCATATTTTTCAATTCTGGGTGGTAGAAGGAGCGTTTACTACGAAGATCTGTCTTAGGACCGATTATAGTGTAGCTTGTTTAACTTGGTGCGGCGCGATTGAAGATACATCTGCATAGGGTGATGGCAACGCTCAGGAGATGGATGTGTGGCTGCCTGCACTTCAGCAGGGTATGTCCACTGATAAGGTGGGCTCACAAAACTCCCAAACATCTTGCGCTTTTAGGGTTTAGGGTTTTGATGCTTACCAGGGCTTTTGTAGGCAAGTTCAGCCAATAGGAGGCTCTGCTGAAAGACAGTAAACACCCTGGATCATGCCCGTACGATCCTTACTGCGTGGAGCCTTTGGGTGTCTCTACTGGGTTGGCGGGTTGTGGGATTCCCCAAACCCTAAACCCAAACCCAAGTCCTTCACGCTGAACCCGAAAACAAAGAACCCCCAGCTTCCAAAAGGCGGTTGCGGCCTTTTTGGTGCTGGTCTTGACCGCTCCTCTCTTTTGTATGATTCTCGGATGCTCTTTCAGCTTGGTAAACCCTAAACCCTCAATCCTAAAACTTTCGCCTGGTGAATTTGGGGATTTCGTGGTCAGCTCGAGTCTCAGCTTGCGGTGAGTGGAGCTTTACAGCTTTTGGGTTAGTGGGTTAGAGTGGAGGGGTTTTCGGGCTTAGGCTTTGGGGGCCTGCTAGCTCAGACATGCCTTTAGAAGGAAGGAACCCTAACATAGCAGGAACCCGTAATAACAAGAGCCTTACTCCAAGAACTCGAAGGACCCCTAAATCAAGAGACCCCGAAATCGAAGCAAGCCCTCTAAAGCTGTGAGGAACATCATGCAGCTGATTCTTTTCTTGTGCGAACACCTTTCCAGCAAGCCGGCTGGATTTCTCGAGTATTGCAAGACTATGCTGGTGTGGCTTATCATGGTCCTGGTGGTGTTCTTCTTTGTGCTGCTGGCAGGGCCGTATATTCAACAAGCTCGAATTCCAGGGGGGATTATTGCTGCGACGACGAACTTGATCATTTTTTATGTCAGCTTTCGCTGCAAAAAAGGATATGCCGACTGAGCCGAAAATGTTTGAATTTGGCGCCTCGTTTTGCATGGCTCCAGTTGTTCGGTCTGGAAGTTTGTTGCCACCCCCGCCACTCGAACCCTCAACCTAAGACTTAGACGGCAAGGAGGTGTTTCTGCCTTCGTGCCAGCATCCCGAAACCGAGAACACCTAGATCCCCGAGCCCGACCCCTCAAAATCCCTCTGCCTGAACATGGACCTACTGTCCTGTTCGGTCGAGTTCTGGACTTTGTTTCTTCGGGACACACATCCCTTGTCACAGACAGGGATCAAGGTAACCTGGGTTGCTTCAGTGGTATTCGACTTTGGGGCGCGAGGATCCCTCTCTCGCGTCGGTCGTGCTGCGCTCTGGCGCCGACCTGCACCCACTTTGCGCCACTAGGGTGCCGCCTGATCACTCGTTTCGGCGCATAGTTATGAGCGGGAGGTTTAAGTGGAATATCTGAAGTCGTTGCAAAGCCTTAAGTTTAGGGGCTTTAACGTTGCTTTGCATGCTAGCCTTGCTTCAACTACACGCGTCCCGTTGGCAGACTCATGTTTCTGAATCTTTCAAGTCTCACATTTGTCGCTGACAGACAGTGCCAGCATGCGGAAGAAGTGGCTGCCAGAGACAAACAACCTATTTTGTCGTTGCTGTCGTCTGGCATGGCTTTCTTGGGAAATCTTCGAAAGATATTGAATCTCTGAGCTGTATACGAAACATTATCTTATATATAATCTTTGGCTTTCAACATGGCTTATCTATAAAAAGAAAATTCTATAAGATATTATGATGACAAAATTAATTGAAATAATATACAGATAATAAGATCATTCTATAGAAATTGTTATATTCTAGTTTCTTGTATTTTCTATTTCTGTTATTTTTAGAAATAATGATTTGTCAATTATAAAAATTAAATTAAATCTTGAATTTTAGAATAAATAAATATATATATATATATTATTGTTACCTATAAATATAATGATTTATGAATTGATATTATGAAAATATATTTATATTTTATTAATATAATAGATGAATTTTTCTTATTAAAGATTTTAATTTGATATATCTATAAAAATATATAGATTCTAGTCTAAAATATTTCGTATCGTTCGTTTCGACCCGGCTGTAAATAAAAGAATTTATTGAATTTAATTATGAAAAGATTGATGAAAAATAGGATATTGAAGAAAAAGAAGGTGCAAAATAATAGAAAAAATAGAAGGAGAGATAATATTTAATGATTTTGTATTTTCTATCGAGATATTAGAATTCAAAGGAATCGTTGGTTGTCGCACTTAATCGACGGCAAGGTGACGAAAATAATGGAGCGAAAAGGTGAAAGATGAAAAGATAGGTTGGGTTGGGGGGGCGGAGCTTGGAAGGGGGTCTTTTGGGGTTCATAGAGGGATTCTTTGTAAGATGGAGAATAGAGGGAATCTGAATTTAAGAATCTAATAGTTATTTGGGTCGGGAATCGAATCGATTATTATGAATTATATTGAATCTTATTTTTTTTTTAGAAATCACATTGAAATAGAATACAGAAATATAGAGAATAATAAAAATATATATAAAGGTATAAGAAATATGAACAAATATCGATGGAAGATAAAAGATATATAATTGAAAAAAATCGTTGAATTAATAATTTATTAGATGTATTTTATTTTATCTGTAAAATTTTAAATATAGATTTCGAAATAATGAATTGAATAATGATAATTCTAAATAATATTTCTATATATCTAGAGGTTCTAAATAAATGAATCGTTATATATAGATTTTTTAATTTATGAATCTGATACTAAAATTAAAAGTATAGCCTAAGTATATTATTATTTCTTTGGAATTTAGCTAGGAAATTAATATTATATAATTAATTTTCATTCTATTGGAAGAAATTTAGTTTCTATAA